ATTTACTTGAAATTTACATTTCTCACATCCAGAATGTGAAGCTTTTACTTCCACATGAGTAAATGCCTCACATATGTAAGGACAAGGACTGCTTTTTGTGGGAAACTGAGCTCCTRCCATTTAGCTTTAGACACTCTATTTAGGTGCTTGCCTTAAAAAACACCTTTTGTGGACTCCCTGGCCAGTTTCCTGCTCTGAATGACCCTGTCAGGGTTGCTTTTTCTCTTCCCTGGCACCACAGGCAATGAAAGGCAATAGAGAAGACACTCAGCTACCGAATTTAGGTATCTAAAGTTAGGCCTTTCAAGTAGTTTCCAGTTGTGACTGTATTACATAACATTAGAGACAATGTTACATAAATGATTTTTTCTTTACATTCTATTCCACRAGCCTGAGAAATTGAAGGCTAATAAAGAATCTCATTAATAAAAAGAAAGATAAATTATTTGATTTGATACATACAAAAGCGCTCTRTATACATAAAATCATTCATTACATTTCATAAGGAAGAAATAGTGGAATTACATTTGTTTTATCTATGTTCTTAGGGGCACTATTTAAAAACGGAATCTGTAGGAGAGATATGAATGTGACGATAATGTAATACAAGTATGTAAGAATCTAATTTTCCCATAATTATATATAGCATGCTAAGCAAGCAAGATGATCTAGAGTCATTTTGAAAGAGATAATMTTGGTCACACTTATTGTGCTCTTTTGAGCATCATGGTTCTCACCCTTTTACAACTGCAGTGTGTTGCAGCAGCTTCATTTAATCAGAAAGCCTCAAAGCAGCTCCCTTCTGCCAATCCGTGCAGCCGCATTGCTGCTTTCAGTTCCCTGTGTTAGAGGAAAGTACATTTCAGCATGCAGAAACTGCATGAAGGGGGCAGAGAAGAGGGGACAAAGCTAAATTATATCCTTGAAAAGGCCTGCAAGAACTTGAGTGATGTAGTTAGAGATGTTGATATATACTTAAATTTCTTCTCATTACATTTACTCTRCTGTTGAGTCTCATATAGTCTATATAAAAGGGCCAGAGGGTAATACAATCACTGAAATGGGATTCTGCAATTAAACTGGTGTGTGCAAAACAGGAGGTCATGATAAAAAAGCAGCTCCTCACCAGTAAGTCACCTCAAAGACAGTGCCTCCTCTCAGAGACTATTTTGTCTTTTGATTACCAAATTCTCTACTCTGGCACAAAGGAGGGAGAAAAAAAACAGAGGGGAAGGTCCTTGATTGCATTAGATTTTGAATTTTCCTCYGGAGCTGCCTATTTATCTCTGTTGACAAGATCAGGAGCTTAGGGCAAGTAAGCAACTACATTGTGTGCATCGCTTGGCTTCTTTCAAAGGTGTTTAGGATTCTGCATTCCAAGCTGAACAGAGAGCTGTGGAAGACTGTAAGAAGAGCCCTTCTAAGATAAAAATTTGCATGCTCACACTACTCATTCTTATGCTAAAATAATATCTGATATACACGAAATGGAAAACTTTGGGTCAGATCCTGACTTTGTTTAAATTTCTGCAGCTCCATTATCGGCAATCTATTCTTTAGTTTCAAAAACCATTTAAAGTTGCTAAATGACAACAATTAGTTTCATTTGCAAAATCCAAAGAACTGAATAGAAAGAAAATGAAAAATCCTACAATTATCCATATGATAAACAAGTATGCTGGATCTAATTCTCTGCGAGCTATAATACAATATTAGCATTTGCATAGATTAAAAAATGAATATAAAGTGGCTGAAAATGCCAACGTTCTTAAGTGGTAAAACTTTACATCCAGTTTACAAAAGCCTTCAGCAACCACATCACAGTCTAAAACATGTGATGATAGCAAAATTATTGATAATGTCATTGCTACCTTTCCACTAAGAACCGTATACATGATTGATTACATAGTATGTACTGAATTGTTGAGTTAGGGCAAAATGAAGCTTCTTCATGGGCATTTTAGGCTGAGCAGTAATTCTATCAACAGGGTGTTTTTGCACATACCTACTTTTAAAATAGAATTTTGTATTGCATTGTTGTGATATGAAAGAATAGGCCAGAGTTATCTAGGATGATTAGTAGCTTAGAAATCTTCTGGTTTTGAGTAAGCACTATGTTTTCAAATGCATTTGCAAACATGATCTAAGAAACCTTATTTTATACAGAATTCTCAAAGTGTATTCAAGGAGAGAGAAACATGAAAACATATTGCATAGTCTCCTCTGCTTAATCTACACCTCATTATAGATGGGCATTCTTCCACTAATTCAACAAAAACAAAATTTTACCACATGTGAAGAGTACTATCTAAATGTGCACTCGCCAAAACGTTTTAAATCATAATCTACACGTTTGGTTCCATTGAGCAATGCCCAGTATCTTTTTGAAAACCATACCCTCAATGACATAGAAGGGTATGTCATCTATAAGTCACAATCACTCATGCGACAACCCTAAATTACTGGCTTCCATCTAAGTGCAATATTGCTACTTCTGTAGCTGTGGAATAACAAAAAAAAGGAGCAAAACACACCCAAGAAACTCAAAACTACGAGGTCTCATAACCAACAGAGTTCTGCACTCCCAGTCTGCACTGCTGTCTCCCAGTCCAGAGCTGGACTCCCAGTCCACTGCCAGGTGGACTGCCCACATGAAGTCATGTAGCACCTGCAGAACGGGCACCATCAAAACAGGTCACAGAGAATTGATATTGAAGAGTGATGATGAGAACAAACTTACACAGAACTGCATGAGAAAAATAAAATAGGAGGGAACAAAGTTTTTAAAACTTATTAAGCAGACACCACGACACCCTCTCTCTGGTTTTGCTGATGATTATTACTGCTCTGGCAAACTGGGCAAGCAGWCAAGTGGCAAAGTCTGAAGATGACACAAAATAATTCAAATTAATCAAGRCTAAAATAAACAGGACTTTCAGAGATAGTTGGTGAAGCAAATCACCTCTGAAGTGTTTGCTTAATTCTGCAATTAATCTAAATTCTTAACATTTTCAGACTGTATCTTTACACACGCAGAAAGATGAAGTAGAGAAGATGAATGTTATGGGAAACTTCATAAAATTATTGTCTTATTGCATGAAAAAGTGCATCTGGATATAGGAGGGGTTTGGGCTTATTGCACAGAGATAACATTACTGCAGATGTCTTTATTAGCAAAATAAAAGCACTGTATCTCCATAAACACATACACAATATCTAACATATTTTTTCTGGTTATGACTGAATTCTTCAGGTATTTCAACAGCAGAATTAATCTAAAAAAAAACCCCAATCTACTGTGCATTATATAATCTTAATATTTTCTACTGAAAAAAATGAGTAGCAAAGCAAATTAAAACAATATCTGTTTTATCTGCTCTTTCTTACATACATACCTTTTTTTCTGCCCTCTGTTCATCTCCTTGTATTCATCTGCTTTCTCTGCTGTTACATTTGGGATATACYAAATATGCCTCATTTATGCATTGAAGTCTTTCAGTAATGCAAGGCATACAAGGAAATACTTAATGTAAATCTTCACCATATAAGATTTTATCCAGCCCTGGGCCTACAAAATAATTGTATGTTGTACAATTGTACAATAGTTCTACAATTAAGAATGACAACAAGGAAGAACACAATCACTTGGATTTTATATTAAAGGGTGAACATCGTCATCTAAACTGAGATATCCACTGGAAATGACAATAGTTCAGCTTGTAACACCAGGTGATGTCCTTGTACTAGTKTTGTAATTACAGACACCTTCAAAGTACTTGAGGGCAAAGCCCTCAGTGAAAGTAGAGCTTGTCACATGTGGTGATGTCCCCACACATGTGTGATGGTCACAGATGGCTTCCGGCACTGGAGGAAAAAGCTACGTATGAAAGCACAACTTTCATATGACCTTATATGAGGTCATGAGGTCATATCCCTCTTGCAATGCAGGGTGATGTGACACGGAGTGATGTCCCCGCACATGTGATGGTCATGAACGGCTTCCAGAAGTGGGAAATCAAGTCACAGGAGAAAGTGCAACTTGTGACATGATGACATGACTTCACCTGCAATGCAAGATGATATGCAACCCGTGACACGAGGTGATGACACTATGTGGGTGTGACAGTCATGGATGGCTCCTAGCAMCAAGAAAAGAAATAATCAGTGAAAGTTCAGCCTGTGACTTGAGGTGATGCCCCACATTCAACAGGAGTGATGTCCCCACACATGTGTGATGGCCACGGACAGCTTCCAGCACTGGGAGGAAAAAATCATGGGTGAAAGCACAGCCTGTGACATGAGGTTATGTCTCATTTGCAGCCCAGGGCGATGCCCCATACACGTGTGATAGTTGTGGATGCCTTCTAGAAGCAGGGGAAAGAAGCCACCATGGAAAGTGCAACTTGTGACATGAGGTGATACCCAAAGCACAATGCAGGGTGATGTCCCTGTATACATGTGACAATAGAGGATGGCTTCCGGCAGTGGGGGAAAGAAGCCATGGGTGAAAGCACAGCTGCAATGCAAGGCGACATCCCACCTGTGACATGGGGTGACGTCCCCACCACACACTGTGGTCACGGAGGGCTCCCAGCACAGGGGAAAGCGGCCGCGGGTGAAAGCGCAGCCTGCGGTGCGGGGCGATGCCCTCGGGGTGATGCGGGGCGGTGCGCAGCGATGCCCCCGCGCACGCGGTGGCTCCAGCCGCGGGAGCCCCCGGGCTGCGCGGCAGCAGGGGGTCCCCGCACAGCCCC